CGGCGTTTATTGGAAGGTTGGACGCGACAAAGAATTGTATTAACTACGGTATTAATATTTTCTATAAATGAAATCGCTGTGATTGCCTGATGAGTGTGTAAAGTGGTCATTTTTGACCATACGAAACAAAAATTGTCGCTAGAGGGTGGGGGCTTTGGGCTAGTTCTCGCGCTTCGAGATGACTGTCGCGCGCGCGCTTCCCTTATTTCGATGAAAGTGAATAAAAGAGAGAGAGCGAGAAAAGAAAGAAAAAAACGTCAATCACCCAGGTGTAACCGCGATACTCGGAAATACTCCGGCTCCGGGGGTAATGAGCCCTCGTAGACATCCCCATAATGATAAAACCAATATTTTTCGGCAGAAATGTAACCGGCATTTTCCGGCAAAAATGCCATTAAGACAAATTTTCAGATTAAGTGAGGAAGCTGTTAAAGAGAATTTGCAATACCCTAATTAAATACAGTCTAACCTCTCCTTAAGGACACCTCTCTATAACGGACGGTTCGTTTGGTCTCAGAAATGCCAAAAATCATACATTCCCTACCTCTATAATACTGACACCTCTGTAAAGCGGATAATCGGTTCTGTCCCTTTGGTGTCCGCATTAAAGAGGTTTGACTGTAAGTGACCTATAGATGAATAAAGCAAAAAAAAATAATTAGGCGTTCCCATACCGGGAGTCGAACCCGGGCCGCCTGGGTGAAAACCAGGAATCCTAACCGCTAGACCATATGGGAATTACGTTTTATTCTTATTAATATCTTTTATCATATTCATACACATTTTTAAAAATTAGACGAATGCACGTGGGTTTCTCTATTACAATTTTTCTCTTTGTGTTGTTCAGCTTACACTTCTATTTGTGTCAGTTTAAAAAGGGATGGGCTTCAGTGTGGAGCATTGTACAGCGATACGATAAGAGACGCTAAATACCTTATACGTTTTTGTGGAGCGTAATAGCGGAGCTCCACTACCCATCCTAGAAAAGTTGGTGATCACTTGACCGTACACTGAGCGACCGAGCGACCGTCCATCCGCACCACAGGTATACCAATGTAAAATAACTTAATCAACAGGTATGGCAACCCAAATGCAACTCGAGGTTATTTTGGCGGGAAATCGCATAGCCACCCGCATCTTCAAAGCAGAGACAACTTAAAAGTCTAAAGACGAAAACGGAAATCGGAAGGTTTCTATATCTGGGTGTCTAAAGTATTAAATTAAGCTTAGATTAATTGTCGAGTGTCCACAAATTTGGAATATAGAGCAAGAGAAGGACCAAGAAAAAGAGAAAGTAGGCGGCAGGTCAGCGAAGCTCAACGAGAAAAAAAAAGAGGAGACTTTTTTTTTTGAAAGAACAACATGAAAATTTTGTAGCGGCGGTGACAAAATGAGAAATGCTCGCGGCCACCAATGAAAGGTGAAAATGAGCGGCAGTGAGAATACATTCTCAAACTCATTAATAATTCATTAAGAAAATACAAAGGAAATTAATGTTTAATGAGTGTTTGGAAATCGGATGAAACACTGCTTAGTATTTGCATCCTTAATTTCTCCTTCAAAAATGATTTTGTTTGAGAAGAAATATCAAACATTCGACACAGTGTTTCATCACCAGATGAAACACCTCGAAGTTCGTCAAAAATACTCCGCTGCGCGTCGTATTTTCAACTCTCTTCTCGGTGTTTCATCTGGTGATGAAACACTGCATCTCATGTTTGATATATTACGTGAACGAGAACATGTACGACATTTCCTCCAAAAAAACGTTCCTGGAAGTTTCACGTTGTAGTCGTGCAAAACAACGGCAAAGAAATGTACAACAAAGTGTGCTGCACGTGCAAAGTTGCTTTTTGCTAATAAGACTTAGATTAATTAGACTTTTCACCGTTCTTCGGCGTTGCCTTCGCCGCTGAGCATTACACGATTTAATATTTTGTTTGAACAAACTTTAAATAGATCTAAATATTATCGAGAGCTTCGCTCTTAGCCCTGGAAAAATCTATATATTACTATTAAGACATTGTTACCAAACCAGGGACACAAAGAGACCTGCAACAAGGGATTTAAGGTTAAAATTTTTTGTTTCAAAATTATTTTGTAAGTTCGCTCCAGCTTCATGACCAATTGTAAACATCATTCAGCAAACAAACAGGCCAAAAGAAATTGGGCTTCCTTGTGCGTTTACAAGAGTATAAAGTACAGTAAATTGTCAGCAAGGCGCATGGTTTGATGTAAAGTTATAACAGAAAATTGGGTTTTTGAAGTGCAAAGAAGTCCTTTTTTTATCATAAATAGAGAGCTTATTTCATATCAGAGGATCAGTCACAATGACCTGCTCTCAGTTGTCTTGTTAGCTTAGAGCGCTGCACCGGTATCGCAGAGGTCAAGGGTTCGAATCCCGTACAAGCCTGGTCCTTTTTTCAGGCTTTCTTTTCGTAACTGCAACAGTTGCGTATAACTGCGATGTTCACTCCGCAGTTCACATATATGATTTTCATATATTCAAAACTCCTATATATTTTTTGTTTTATTCTTTTGTTTACTTCTTCATCGCCTTATCGTACGGATCAGTTGCCCTTTCGTATATTTTTTTCCAAAAACATTCTTTCAAGTTACATGTTGCGTCCGTTTACCGTGTTGCATGTTGTTGTGTGTTGTTGGGAGTCGTTGCGCAAAGTTTGGAAGCGGTCAAACGTTGGCATTTAGCTTTACAGGGGTGTGGGATGTGATTAAGGGTTTTATAGTAAAAAAAAGGAAACATAAAAAAAGAGCAACCGTTCCCATACCGGGAGTCGAACCCGGGCCGCCTGGGTGAAAACCAGGAATCCTAACCGCTAGACCATATGGGATTTGACCTGCGAAATGACCAAATTCATTGAACCAATTAGTATTTTGTAATTGCCCAATAAGAAACGTTTCCCATGAAGCTTTTCGTTGACGGTGTCCAAAGTCTGAAAACGTCGACTCCTCGAGCTGATTGCATTGCAGTTGATAGCCTGAGCTGATTGAAAGTAAGGAACTTTTATGTATTTGCCGAACATTTCCCCCTAATTTTGTGCATAAGTAGGCTACATCTTGAATTGATCGGTTAGCTTTCATTATGTCTCAACGTTTGCATCGTAATCTTAGAATACTTTGATGATGTAAATAGACTTCTGTTTTGTAACTCGGAAGCTTACGTTAAAAATCCCACATATCATAAGCTCGCCCTCATTTTATCGGACGCTAAACTAGATTGCCTCGTTTAGTTTTGCGCATTAATTTCAAGTTTAGTTTATATGAAAACTTGGGGAATGATTCTTTTTGTATGACTTAAAACGTTGTATCTTGCTGTACTGAGAGTAAGGGCCCTTTGTGATATTTTGTTTACGTGGTAGGCGTGAACAGGGCTGGGTGACAAGTAACGAAATCGCTTGAACATGCAGGAGGCGGTTTTTTTTCTAGCGACGGAAAGTTCTTATAGAGATCGATTTTTGTATGAATGAATGACAATAATCTTTATTAAGGATGCCAACTTCACTTAAACTAGTGTCCTGTTGCAGACTAAAATCATGGACGAAAATATTTTTATATTCTGGTAAATTGTTTTATATTTAAGCTCCAGCTCTCAAAGCGAGAATTTACTATAGTTTGTTCATTGTAATATATAATGACAAGCCAGTGAATTCATGAAAATCAAACCAACTGAGTTGTCAGGGTTGTCATTAAGAGCCGGGGCCGGGGATTTTCCCCGGTTACTTTTGTTGGAAAATAGAAGAAAAGTAGAACAAAAAGAAATCCCTAGCTGTTTGATTCCTCGAATACTTGTTGTATTTACCCGCCAACTTGAAATCTTAGTGAGAACCCTGGTTGTATAGAGCACAGTTTTCTATAATTTCTCTCATGACTTCATTGCTCATGATCAAGTAAAAACTAGATTATTAGAGGAGACACAAACAAAAGTAGAAGGTCAAACCAATAACAATATGTACAAATGAGCATTATTGTTGGTTTACACTGGAAGCTCTTATTATTAACGGACCCTCTCTTAAGCGGATATCCCTACTTATGGCCACCTTCACAAAACCCTGTTTTTGACGTTTTTTCTCAACTCCTATACCACGCCGGGCTAGCAGGAGGTCAAATCGCGCCACTTCTAAACTGCTCTTTCAGTTTTTATCCGTTTGAGCTGAAACTTAGCAGGATTTTGAATTTCAATGTTTTTCGGCGGGAAAATGACGTCACAAGATTGACATCAATTATTAAATTGTAACTGATAGTGCCACAAATACGTAGATTAGAAAGACCGTAACGAGATAGAAGGTAATGTGAAAAAAGTGTTTGAAAAGCTTAATTGGTTGCAGAGTTATTAAGCTTTAAATTTTGAATTTCCCGCCATTTTGTTACTATTTTTAGAAACAAAGCCAAACTTTAAAATGCTATATCTCATCAACCAATTGAGCTTTTGCAAAAATTTTTCCACTTTTCGTTTTGTCCTGCTACGGTCTTTCAAAAAAAGGAGTTTTAGGCACTATCAGTTAAAATTTAATTTTTTTGTTTATCTTGTGACGTAATTTTCCCGCCAAAAAACGTTAAAGTTCAAAATTCGAAAACCATGGGTTCCTAGAAAATTTCACGTTTTACAATCCTGCTAAGTTTCAGCTCAAACGGATAAAAACTGAAAGAGCAGTTTAGAAGTGGCGCGATTTGACCTCTTGCCAGCCCGGGGTGTACAAACTCTGTTTTTTTAAATTTCTGTAAGCAGCCAGCTCCAGTTACAGATGCCTTTTTCAAGGCCCAAGGGTGTCCACTTCGAAAGCTTCCACTCTATTTTCCTGCTTCAGGTTACAATAGCAGTCTGTTTGTACTGAGACATGAACAGCAAAGTCATTATTATATTGTTTCTGGGGGTTTTGTAAAGGTGTCCACTTTGATAGCTTCCACTCTATTTTTCTGGTTCAGGTTACAGTTCTTTGGCAGTCTGTTTTTACTGGGACCTGAACAGCAAAGTCATTATTATGTTGTTTCTGGTGGTGTGTTCCTTTGGTATAATCTTGATCGGGATCAGTAAATTATCCGAGATCACTCGCATCAATTTATTGTTACTTCAGAAGAGACTGATGAATCCACTCAGCAAATAATCATTGGTCCCTTTGATGTACTATGATTCAAGGGATATGGTTCACCAACCCTGATCTGGATTGTCCCAGAGGAACGCACCCTAAAGAAAGCAAGAACATTTCATTTTCTTATGATTCGGTCTTTAATCAGTAATAATTAGAATGATCGTTAGTTCTAACTTCAGCTAGTGAAAATCAACCTTCATGAGAATTTGTTAAAAGAAATTTTTTGCAGCTGACAAAAAAATTACAAGTTGATCTGTTTTCTGTATTTCAGGCATGCTTTCAGCTATCAGGCCTGTGGGCCGTCTCTTTACCCAAGCATCCTTGAATTTTAGCCATGGTTATTGTCAAGGTTCTCTACGCTACTTCTCTCGATCTTTAGCAGCACTTCAAAAATCCAACCCACAGAAACTTAGAGAGGAATGGAGTACCTCGTCATTTGATGTACCTGCCATGACCAGACTCTTAGACCATGACAACCATGATAAAAGAGAGAAATTCCGAAAGATTTTGTCGGAAGACCCTCTGATGCAACCCAAATATAACATTTCTGTGGACGAAGAGAGAGCATTAGCGCTCAAACGACTCAAGAAACTTTGTGACCAGGGTTTCATTTCAGTGCTGGATTTCCGACACAATCCGCTGTGGATATTTGCTGCTCATGAGCTTGCAGCTGTAGTTGATGGCTCCATGGCAACAAAGATGACTGTCCAGTTCAACTTGTTTGGTGGCACTGTGCTTAAACTTGGAACTGAACGGCATCATGACAAACTCCTTAAGGTAAATATAATGTACCAAAGGTTCACTCAATGAAGAGGCTGTCTTAGGGAGGCGGGTATATATCATGGTTCCCACAGGACAGGAGATGGTCCGGGGAAAAAAATTTCTTCAAGGTCAGGCAAAAGTCAGGGAATTTCAGTTCAAGTCAGAGAAAATTTAAATTATTTTTGAAAGAAGTCAGGGAAAAGTAAAATTTTAAGAGTACATATTTATTTCTTTCCCTCTACTTCACTGTTTTCTAACATTAAAAATTCTTTTGAAAATTTATGGATATGAATGGTCTGGAATTGGTAGAAGGTTGTGCATGAAGTTGAACGACAAGCTGATGTTGGCTTTTTTCAAGGACATCAATTTCTTTTGCACGTTCTGTTAACTGATGAACCATTCTATTCATGTACATTGCATGTTACTCGCTTAAAGCAGAAATAAATGGGTGGGGAATGGCTGCATGTGAGGGAAGAGTTGAGTCCATTATCAGGACTAATTTGTGAAATTGTTAATTCAGTTGGTCAGGGAAATGTAATAATTTGTCAGGAAAAATTGAATTTCAGAAACCACTGGCTGTGGCAACCATGAATGGTATGTCGCTAGTCTGAATTAATTTCAAATATGGATGTTTCATGTCCCTGTCCGTTTTTAACTCATCGTTATGTTGTTTGTTAATTGCCATTCCATCAAGACTTTGTTACTGTTTCACAGCCATGTTGCTTGCTGGAAGGCAGGGATTTGACAAATTGTGCATATACTGCTGGAAAAATCCTGTCTATTGATTTCTGTTAATTAATTTGTTAATGATTTAAATACTGAACAAGTGACCACATGATGACACTAACGTACCGACAATTTAACTTAGATCAACTCAACCATTTCCTAAATCTTCTCTTGTCACCAATGAATAGGGAATTGATTCCTTGGAAGACGTGGGCTGTTTTGGTCTGACTGAGCTGGGGTATGGTAACAATGCTGTCCAGATGGAAACGACAGCAACTTATGACGACAAAACAAAGGAGTTTATTGTTAACACACCTAGCACTGTGGCACAGAAGTACTGGATAACCAACGGTGCATGCGATGCCCATCATATCATAGTGTTTTCCCAGCTATATATCAATGGAAAGAATGAAGGTAAATACTGTTAACACCTGACCTTCATGCAGCTGTCATTTAATTAAGCTATTCCTGGGGGTTGAGTGGGAGTACTCCCTATAATGGCCTATGCAGGAAGCTCCGCTCAAAAGTGGTACCTTTTCCAGGCTTGAGATATTTTAACGGGTAGGGATTTTACTAGCTGAAGCACATATGTTGAAAGGGTAGGGAAATCTGTAGCCTGCGAAGCGCAGACGCATTTCCGGTCGTCGCTTCTCTCCCTCCGAAAAATAGCCTTTGCGAACCCGAGCGACAAAACGATTTCCGTGACGTAAAACATTTTTAGCCAATCGCGGTTTAGCTCTTAAAATCAAGGAACTAACTCGCGAGACTTCTTGCAGGATCGTGCGCCATGGATATGTTTTCAAGTTGAAATTGAAAGGACGACGTGGCTTGTGTATAGCCGTCCTTTTTTCTCAGAATGACGCGTTTACGAAAGTTAATTTGCCAGGATTGTGGGACTGATTGACGAAATAAGGATCAATAGGATTCATATCGAAGAAAAGATTAGAGGACATTTTTCATCTATTTGCCTACGGAGTCAATGATTTATCAGACGTAATTGTTTTGATCATATTCGAAACGATAACTGTACTAATGACAGTAGACGCATCATGCCGTTTGTTGCTTCTGTTCCTTTCTGGTTCCTGGCAGGAAAGTATGCCTTGGAGAACTCTTCGATAGTTTGTCGTGTGCCGTTTTAGATATTTTTTAGTAGATATCCTTTATCTTTGAAAGGTAGGACATGTGGTAATTGATTTCCCATGCGTGGTTGCTTCTTGGTTCAGATAGAACTTTGATCAGATCGAAAGCATTTTATATTTGCTCCGGTATATTTCTTTAAATACATGTTCTTTTCAAGGTTCTCATTTCCATAGTTTTTTGTGAGATGAGTAGAAGCGTCGTAGCTGAAATGTCATTTTGACTATGATCTATTTACTGCTGTAACTATTTATTTCACGCTGGGTCTGGCCCAGGTTTATAATATTTCAGATCATTGTGTTGTGGCGATACTAGAATTATTAACGAGCGATTGTTAGAGATTTCTGAATCAGTCAAGGATGTGTCTGTGTAATTGATTCACCACCTTTTGTCAGCGCTGGTTAAATTGAAATAAATAAGTCTGAGCGCGATGTCATTAAGCTATGTTGCTTTCCTTTCGCTGTAGCGATTATTTTGTCCAGGTTTTGTTTATGTCACGTACTACCGTATTTTATAAAGCGAAACCAAAGGCCCACATCACATACATAGCTTAAGAAGCAGTTGCTTCATAAAGAAGTCAGCATTCAACGTCGCAGGAAACCTTGTTATGGTCGTGAAATTCACGTTCCAAAGCGTATTTGGTAATTCTCTCCAAAATCCAAGACACTTCAGCGCGCGAGGTCGCGAGGAGTCACTCGAGCTGTATTCTATCCTTTGATCTGATTGGCCTACATCAAAACAAAAGGTTTTACGTCACGGAAATCGTTTTGTCGCTCAGGTTTGCAGACGCTATTTTTCGGAGGGAGAGAAGCGACGACCGGAAATGCGTCTGCGCTTCGCAGGCTAGGAAATCTGTCAATTTGGCCTGAAAAAGACCCAAAAAGGCTAACAGATGTATTACATTGTTGTGAAAAAGTCAAGAAAATATTCTGGTCTATTTGTGATTTATTCATATAAAACTCTGTCCAGTATCCCCCTGGGTAGCTATCCCCCCCCGAGGAGCTAACCTGTTTAAGGTGTAACAGGTTTTTTTAAGCCCTTCCTCTGAAAGGCCCTAGATGAAGTGCTGCTGATTACATGCATGGCCAGATAGTGAGTTAAGTGCTGTAAATCCCTAGTGTCATATTTTTTCATATTTTTTAGTTTGATTCTCATTCTATGCATTCCATTCATTGTTGGTAGAAGTTTGAAACATATGCTGGCCACATATGTGCCACTCATTTTTTTACTTTCACAGAGATTTGTATATTTTCTTCTTACAAAAAATAATATGAAATATCAAGTACATTATTACTAATATTTTAAATTTATACTACAAGGAGTACTAGTTTAAAGCAGAATATCCAGTACACAGGAATAAGTATTTTTTACGCAAAAAAAAATGCACATGGTAAAAGTACATACAAAAATGACAAAAGAAAATGTTATAGCTAAAGAAAAAGAAAACAAAACAAAACAAAAAAAAGAAGCAACAAACAACAACAAAAACAAAAACAACCAGCAAAGCAAGTGAACCAACACCAGCACCATAGCCACATGCAAGAGTCAGGTTAAACAAATAGCTGGGGAGGCGAAACAATTCTTACTGAGATTAGACTAGTGTTAAGTTTCGTGTGAGTTTTTCGGCTTTCCATTGTTTAGTTGATATGTGAAAGAACTCATGGCGTGAGTGGCACATAACAGTTCATATGTGCCACTCATGCATAATAGCAACCTGCAGATTAGGATTGTGGGATCTTCAGTTACCCACAATGAAGCGCTGACTTTTGAGTCAATACATTTAAGTTTCTAACTAATGACAAAGCGCTTTATGCAACAATGTCTCAGTCTTTTTTTATTAGTTGTACTTAATTTCTGTGTGTTTTTTTGTTGTGTTTCGGAGTTGTCATTAAGGGCCGTAACCCCTAACATCTGTTACGGCTAAGCTCACTCTATGTTATGGGTGATCAAAGTGGAAAGCTAAAGTAACAGTATAGTGATTTTCGGAATTGTTTCAGGTGAATCTTCATTTGTTGCAGACTTACAGTTGCTTCAAAACTTTATGACAGCACTGCTTTTTATCTGTTTTCAGTGTATTTTTTTTTACAAGACTCTGCTTAAAGGAGCTCTCTTAATGTTAAACTACAGCAGCTGTACACGTTCCTATTTCAATCAATCAATCAATGAATTAAAAAAAAACAAAACAAATACATAACAACATAATAATCTTTAATGAGGTGGTGCATATTTTTAAACAGGTATCCATGGTGTGTTAGTACCTATACGCGACAAAAATCTCAAAGAAGTTCCTGGATCCCACATCCATGACATGGGGCACAAAATGGGTCTGAATGGAGTGGATAATGCCAAGTTCATATTTGAGAATGTACGAGTGCCGAGAGAGAACCTGTTAAACCTGTATTCTGATGTGGATGAGGATGGTAACTACACTACCAAAGTAGAGGGAAATGTACGTAAGAGGTTCCTTACTGTTGCTGATCAGCTGCTGTCTGGACGTCTCTGCATCTCAAGCATGTCACAAGGTTACACACTTGCCATAATTCCACTATTTAAAGCCTCTTAGGGGCTTATTCATTTCAAACACATTTGAGGGGGGTGTTAATAGAGACAGAGGGCTTCTTGGAGGGGGGGGGGCTTCTTCAATTTAGCAAAGACTATGGTATCAGTTCTACATAAAGTACTTACTACAAAGTGGAAAAGCTCAAGCACAAAAAGTTGGAGATCTTGCAGCCGAGGATCAAAAACAAATTATCCTAACTTCCAGTTGGTGAATAAACCATCCCGGACTGATCAGTCTTCACAAAGGTTTACAGTTGTAATTGATTAATACAGTCTCTCATTTATTAGTGAAGAATAGTAAGGGGGGGGGGGGCGGACAGGGGGGCTTATTTGAGAGTTGTGGGTTAATAGAGGATTTATGGAAATTCCCTCTAAGATTAGTAACTGTTACAAGACAAATATAGTCAAAGCTAAGTTCTCCTTGTTACCACTTTAGCATATGTGCCAACTCTCCCAGATTATATGGGAATTGAGTCTTGAGGATACAGCACCAAATCTCCAGGATGAAATTGAACTGTGAACTGTTCTGTGCTTTAGTGTAGAATTTAGCTCATTTTTCCAAACATTCAAACCATTTTTGATCATAGTACAGTTTCTGTTGCATTTTTGTCCATATTTCATGACTGACAAAACTATTTATGGTCAAAAAGCTTGAAAATGGTGATGGTTTTGACTCTTCACATCATGTAGGAATTCATATGTCCTCTGAGGCCTCTGGTGTTTAAACACTAGATAGCATAATTACTGGATAAATCACTGTCCAGGGGATAAACATTAGTGAAACCAAAAATTGCAAAAGTGATTTATCCAGTGGAGAGCGATTTAATGAGTGGATAGTGTTATCCACCTTTTGAACAACTTTGATGAGTGCCACACCCCAGGGCTGGAAAAATTCTCATCTTGTAGTCTGGGACTATAAACTGATTTTCTTGCTGGGAATTTACTTGCCCAGTGGGTGAGAGCCCAGGCAAGTCATCCTGTAACAAAATTATCATCTTGAAAACTAAAATAAGCAAGAAGTGTCCCCCGGTAAGCAAAATGTGTGAGCTGCTTTCCCAAAGGACAAGATAGAATTCCAGTTTATTTTGTACCCTTCACCAATTTCATCATAATTTTGGAAATGGGATAATTTGTGTTTATTGGTTGGAGGGAGTTTTGTTGGGAAGGGGCTACTGCAAGAGAGAGAGAGTTCTCCAGAAGTCGGCATCTCTGCTCTGGAAGTAACCAGCCCTAATTAGAACCACATCACAAAATTGTGAAAGCCCATTGGAAATGCACTATGTAATAGTGATAGTAATAATGGGCTTTTTTGCCTTTTTTCAGAAGTAAACCTCATGTTTAATTTTTTAAAACATACTTTTAAAATATGATGTGTGATTTCTCTAGGTGTTGCTAAAGCTTGTATCACCATTGCAACCCGCTACTCAGCGACTCGTTTAACTGTGGGGCCTGAAGGCAAGTCTGACACGCCAATACTGAAATACCAGCTTCAGCAGCGTGCACTGATGCCTCTCCTGGCCAAGACTTATGCACTGGACTTTGCTCTTTCCTATATCAAGGACTGCTGGGCATTTCAGGTAATTCTCTTCATAAAATAGACTGCAAGTTGTCTTTCTTGCTGGGAAATCTGTGAGCAAATGCAATATGTGAGCGTAGGAACAACAAAGCCCCCATCAGTGAGTTGTTTGGTTGCCAGTATAAGCGAAAAAACTGGCTCGTACGTCAAAGAGATTTCATTTGAATGCGTGGTAACACCACAGGACTTAATCAGTTAATCCATGGGTATCCATGAAAATTAGAGGGGAAAAATTAATAATCTCACCATAACTTTGTTAAGGAGTTGAAGAGGGGTTAAATACCCTTATATGAAGAGATGCATTTCATGTTCCTTGTTTCTAGCCAGAAGATGGGTCAGACCATGCTAATGTGGTTACCATGTGTTGTGTGATCAAAGCATTGACTGGCTGGCATGTGGGCGAGGCTGCCTCTGTTTGTCGTGAGAGGTGTGGTGGACAGGGGTATCTCTCCTGTAACAGATTCGGTGCTGCAATAGGATACGCCCATGCTGCTATGACAGCAGAGGGTGATAATGCTGTGCTGATGCAGAAGGTGACAACTGAGAGACTGATGGTGTTCAAGCCATCTAAAGAAAAGGCAGAGGTGGGGACAGTTGATTTGGACAGCGTCGAGTCCCTTCATAGACTACTGGAGGCCCGAGAGCAGGTGCAGTTTATGGAGTTAGGTATGAAGATGAAGAAGGCTGGAGCTAAAGATCGCTTCAGTGCTTGGATGTACCACGAACAAGACCTTGTCCAGTCATGTGCGCATGCGTATGGTGAGAGACTGGTCAGCGAGTGCTTCAGCAATGCAATCGACAAAGCAGACGCTTCCTTGCAGCCAATCCTGAGTGAGCTGTATCATTTGTACCTCATTACTGTAGTACAAAAAGATCTTGGATATTTCACTACCTCACGGTTCCTGCCCATAGAGACTGGGGCGAATGTGGGGCGAGTAGCCGCTGACTTGTGTCGTGAAATAGGACCGCAGGCTCTTTCTCTCTGTGATGCCTTTGGATTGACGGAAGAGATGTTGAGCGCACCAGTGGCAAGAGACTGGGTCGATTATAATGTAACTGATAACAGAGGAGAACTGTCGTGAGCAAAATCGTGTTCACTTAGATCACGTGATAATGCCAAGATTGACAGTGTGTAAGCATTTAAAACCACGATGAACCACTTAATTTTAGAGTAAACGACGCCGTTAATTTTGAAGAGTTATGTATGTGCCATGAATAAGAAAGAACAGCACGTCTTTCCCCCTTAGCCATTTGAACTGGCCATCTGTAGGTGGTGAATTTGTAGCATCGCCTGCGTGTACTTTGTTCATATCAGAAGTGCAACTAGTAGGCTTTCTTCTTGATGAAAAACGAAACATAACATGGGCATAGCCACCTGCAAGTCAGTAGAGCTTTTCTCTTGTTCCTTTTTGGCGAACTCATGAATCGAGTTGGGATACTGTTATGACCATGGAATTATTAATTAAAGGATGCGGAAAAACCGGTTTGACAATAAAGAACAAGATTGACTAGTCCAGCGTTTCACGGTTTGACAACTTCAAATACTCGACTCGATTGAGGTAGCGCAGGCCTCCTATTCTATTCCTCGGTATGAGACTCTGCTCACCAACCTCGTCCCCAGGGCTCTTTTCCCTGACTTTCCCAAGCCAGGGAAAAGCGCCCTGGGGACGAAGTTGTCTGCTCACGGGGTGGAAGGCACGGGCGTACCTCAAAAAGAAATGTCGAAGATACCAAAAAACAAAAACAAAATATGAATGCAAAGCAAAAGAGGACAGAGAGATTGGTTAAAAAGGAATAGCTGATAAATGGTGCAATTGCCATTGACACGTAGCCTGCGCGCAGACGAAATTAAACTTCGATCAGAATTTAGTTATCGTCTGCACGCAGGCTATTGACACGTCGTTGTAACTTTCTGTAGATAATTTTTCAAGACAGAGATAGGTGTTTCCTCCTATTTTGCCAAGAGAGACCATTACCTGTCCTCACCATACTGATAAAAACTAAGAACATTTAATCAGGGACACCTAACGACTGAATGTTTCCAAAGACGTTATAAGTTTCTAAAATGGTCTACTTGGTTAATTTAGAGCTGCCCTAAAAAATATTAATCTATCTGTTCGGATGGCTAGTCGTCTCAGTCTCAAGTTTCAGTTGGCTTTTTGGTCCCATCCGAAACTGTTAGCTTCCCTGGTGGATCCTGTCGAATAATGGAGCACATGGAGTAGCCGTACTTTCATTAGAAAATTCCATAGGGGGTATTTTGTCTTTTCCATCTTGATCTTTGATCTTGTATGTGAATAAATATGGTATTCTATAATCACATGATCTATGTTATTTTATTAGCTTTGCCCTGAAGAAGACAAAAAAAATCACTGAAGATATGCAAACTAGTAATAAGAACGTAACAATACACTAATAATAACTTAAATATTTGGGCAGGGACACCGCAACAGCTAAAGCCAATTACTGCGGACCCAAAAAGTCTTCATTCTATAATCCAGAAATTGTTAGCCTTTTTCTCTAGCTGTAGAAATTGCTGGGCAATATTTCCTCCTTCGAACAGTTAGGTCGAACAAACGTTGGGTGCCCCTGTTAAATCATTTCACCCGTGTGAAAATGATTTGGGACACCGGTAGGACTGGTTTAAAACACGATGCGTACCTTTGGGAAATTTCTCGCTCAGCCCCTGAATAAAAATACTGAAGGAATAAAGATTAAAGGTAATAATAGTAAAAACAGAAAAAATTATTGTCAGTGTTAAAAATTCTACAGTTTATCCCAGCAGCTGTAGCCCTGATGAGATTCAGGAGCAGATTCCGAGTAGCTTGTTCCAAACGTTAAGATGGTGGGGAGCGAGTTAAATCGTACGCAGCGAGCTCAAAAGGAAAACGAGGTTTTTTTCCCCCGACAATTTTTCGCCCGCGTCCTACCCTCTGAACACCTGAAACAGGCTAGTTTTCAAGCAACTGATGCCCAGGGACGCTCCCTAAATTAATTTTATGAGTTTGAATTGGCAGAAACGACCAAATATAGAACCTTGTGGAACCTACCTATAGAGAAAAAGTGAACTCAAATTGGAGCCATCTTAGAATGATTAGACTGCAACCATGACTAAGTGCAATAGCAGCGTACTGTAAATTTACTGAAAACTTTTATCTTTCACTTTTCGCGTTAAATTAATAAATGTTAAATGTTTCAATCGTAACAAGGGGTGATGTTAGTTTGTGCTACTACAAACAATTAATAATAATAATAATAATAATAATAATAATTATAATTATGTTTTAATTCATTCGATAATATATAATATATTGCCAAAAATTGGCATTTCGGAACAAATTGTCTCTGAAATACAAATCCTTCTAAATTTGACTTGGGTCTAAACGTTTAGACCCAAGTCAGATTTTGGAGGATTTGTATGGAGTCATCAAAAAGCATAACAGGGCTAATATCTCTGAGGCAATTTGCCCCACAATGATAGTTTTTGACGATTAGGCGTCTTGGAAGTTGTTTTTTCAGAATATCCTGGCAAATCCCATAGTTTTTATGACGTCACACGCTAGTACTCTACAGGTATCAAACGTTACATGAAATTTTAAAAAGATTAAGGCGCGTACGGAAAGAATTTCTAAGTGCTAAATTATATCTGAAACTAAGCTTATTAAAAAAACTACTTTGAAAACGTTCAGTGTTTATTACTACTTCGTGTCAATCTAAGAGAGCACGCTTTAGGTTGGGGCAACTTAGGATAAAACGGGTGAGAACAGTCGCTACTAATTTTCTTGAAGAGTTTCCTTTCTTATTTTTCCAGAGCTAGTGGATGGTAACGTTTTGAGGAGTAGTGCCTCTTAAAGCACCTTTTCAGGAAGAATTTTACTGTATTTTAATCTGCTTGGGATGCGCCATAAACATGGGGACCATACACTATTTTAGGAAGAACGATCGCCTTGAACAGATGATCAGTTTAGTCTTTCCTAAGTTCTCTTACTATGTAAAGACATTGGTTCATTTAGTTTAGTTTTAACATGCTTAGCAAATAAACAGTTAGACTGGACGTTAACACCAAGTAAGGTCAAGTTTTCATTCTGATTTCATGCTGTGCAATATTGTAAATAGTAGGGTAATTAGTGGTATTGTTCTTCTTTCGAAAAAGTTTTTCTTTACATTTGGATGTGTTGCATTTCATATCGTTCAAGCGAGTCCAGGTTAAGAACTGTGACAGAGCTAGTTCGGGATTATCAATTTGTTCATTGACGATAATCAGCAGACTAGAATCATGGGCAAGCTTAATCAAGGTACATTGTCAAGACCAGCAGAGTGCAGATCGCTCAAGAGAATATTAAAAAGGGCCCACTGAGTACGCTTCCCAGTGTTGTCCCTTTATTGACTTCTCTCCATTCACAGACCATTCCGCTGCTTAAAACCCGTTGTTTCCGAACGGATTGGAAATTTAAATACCAGTTTACTACATGCGGGCTTAATGGGCTGCTCTTTAATTTCTCAGCTAACAGATGGATGGTGCCTAACGTTGTCAAAGGCCTTCCAAAAGTCCATTGTGAAAAGTCGTACGTGTACTGCTTCAGTTATTGCGGCTGTCATCTAATGCAGCAAGCAAACCGTGTTGCATAGTCATGAGTAGCCGGGGCATTTCTGATCTGTACCTAGATAATTCTCTATATCTTCTTTGCAGAATGTTCTATATCAGAACTATAGACTACCCTTTCAAATGCATGCACGTGCGATTACGGATGTAACACTAATCCCCCTGAAGACAGCGGCGTACACAGGTGTATCGACTTTAGGAAGGGAGCTGATATTTGCATTGTTATGAATATTTGTATTCTGAGCAATGAAACACTTTCACAATACAAGCGTTGTATTTTTATCATTATTCGATAAAGAAACTACCCTTAATAAACCCCGTCGACCTAACTGTAATTTTACAGACGCGTTCACGTCCATTTCGTCACTGAGATCTGAGGACAAATTGAAGGTAAATAAGAGAGTACTTGTGGTTTAGACTGGCATAATGTCTGGATAAACTAAATACAGTTTACAATAATTTAGGTTTTTAGCTCTAAACTCTAGCAAGAATTTAAATTTGAATCCTCCATTTAGAGCCATATTCATTTTGGCTTTTCACAGTTTGTTTCTTGTGAAGTGTGCTGAACTGACATTTTATCGTCCTCTGGAGCAATAACTGTTTTTGAACTGAGTGTTTTAAGAAAGCACCACATTCTTGTCCAAAGTGTGATTACAGAGTACAACGTTCATGGTGTCTCAGATCTCTAATCCCCTCCATTGTTCTCTTATATAGACGCATATCCAGTTCGGTTTTGGCCAAATCCACATAACTTTCCAAGAGACTGAAATGTAAATACGCAGCCATCCTAGCGAAAACAAAAAACAAACAAAATGATTAAGAACCAACTTTCAAGTAATTTGTTAAGTACCAGTATTTACGTAGCCTGCGAGCAATCTCCCCCTCGTATCTTTTCGCTTGGTTTGGCGGATGGGGAGGCGGGTGGGATGCAAGCTCTCTCTTTTCCTTCTCCTCTCCTTGTCCCTTGAGTCCAGTCTGAACCAAAAAAGGCCTTTCTCTTCTGTTATAAACCCTGGGCGTTACCTTGCACATAGCCAGCCTTTGTGAATTCCTGGTGTAAAACTGAATAACAGTTTTGAGCTTTTACTAGAACCAGCAAACTCATCTTTATGCGGAACGGATGACCGTGGGGTTCTAAGGCCTGGGCTCCATTTCCACCGCTCTCGGGTCCAGTCTTGTCCCCGAGAAGAGCCTTCGGGAGGTGGAGCGCGGGGACATTTCATAGATCACGAACACGATCGAGTCTATGAAAAACCATAGGATTTTGGGCAAAATGGTAAACATTAACCCTGGACTTAACAGAAGGAAGCAGGCTCACTGATCAGGTTTGACTTACCCTGCGAGCAGAGGTTTCTCCAGTCTTGCATGGCTTTTACGAAGTCGTTTGCCTGGCTTGTCTGTCGTATAGTTGCTTATAAAACAAACCTATACTACGCGGGCTGGCAAGCCACGCGAACGACTTCGTTCTGAGGCCATGTCAGAGAGAAACCTCTGCTCACAGGGTAGATTTTACTGATTTCTGGTAATTCTCAAAGCAATTAATTCTACATTCGTTAAACAGCTGACCATACAGTACATTACATGAGTGCACTTTGCCATTTTTTAAAATATCGTCAATTGCTACTGTACAAATGCTATCATAAAGATAGTACACGCGTTCTGATAGGTTATAAACCTATGGTTTATTGTGCCGGTAAACTCGTAGATTTACTTAAAATTATTTTATCAAAGCAATAGACCACACTTTCTATGGGTTTACCGACGTGATAACTCACTTGGGATGTTTGGGAGAACACTCGAAAAGGCGAGTGATTTACAAGCTTTTCTTGTGTTCTCCCAACATCCCCCCGTGGGTTATCACGCCCGTAAACCCATAGAGATTGTGGTCTATTGCTTAATTAACTAGATGCCGGATAGAAAGATTATAACAATTTCTGGGAGGGGGTACTTAACGGAGTTTGGTTAGGGATGTGGTGTCAAGGCCTTCAAACACTGACCCTGTTTAAGACTAGAGACCTTGTTTTCGTGACCTAAACATAACAATCTTTGAAAGAAAATTTTCATGATCACTTTAATTAATTGGAGTCAAAGAGATTAATCAGTTAACCACAGCATCCTCACAGCCTCAGCACACCATTATGCTTCACACCCTATTTGAAGTACCCAGTCCAGAAAGAGACTACTAGATCTAAACAGAGAAACTTTAAGACAGAATCCATCAGGAAGTTGAGTAATTTTAATTTTCAGAGGACAGAAACCTTGTACCAGAATAATTTAAACAATCTCGCATTCTTCTTTACATTTTTCAAGGGCTATAGATGTGCTTAGTTATCTGTAATAACACTAAAGAATATTTCTGATCAGAGCCCGAGAAAATAAATGTCAAATTTCACAAAATTACATCTTAGACACGGAGTTTTCAGAATTTTACCTGCGAAGTGAAATTTGACATTTATTTTCTCACGCTCCCATGAGAAATAAACTTTGGTGTTATTACAGATAACTGTTACTATTATCTATAGCCCTTGAAAAATGTAAATAGAAACTGACATCGTTTAAATTGTTCTGGTATAAGGTTTTTTCCACTGAAAATTGTAATAATTACTCAATTTCCTGATGGATTCCATCTTTTTATACCACTACATGAGAAATTTCTGCAGTTTGATTGGCTTAGAGCAGTGGTATTTCTGCTTAATTTGAAATACCTAATAGTATAAACAAATAATAGCATGATTTGTAGGTGATATTTGGCATAAATACCACTCATGATATTTCAAAATTGTCACAAATTTCACTTGCCTAATGGCTCGTGAAATTACCTATAACAATTTCGAAATATCACTCGTGGTATTTATGCCAAATATCACTCCAAATCATGCTATTACCTATACAAACCCTTTTTAAGAGCCTGAAAACCATACACTATTTGGAGGCACATACCATTTAGGTCAAATAAGAGAGCCCTTCCGATCCCCAGGTTATCATTACCTTTGCATTTATAAGCTATAGTATCTGATTTGCATTTTTGCAACCAATAGGTAAACAGTTTTTGGCCCTCCCATTTAAACATCTATTTTACATCTTAATTAGGAAATTGTACAGGAAGGCATGTTATTTGTGAACTCATACCTTAACCAAGAAAGGGACATCTACCCAAAACAGGTAGTTTGGAAAAGCCTCTTTTCCCTCAATGTGCCTGATGTATATATTGATCAAAATTCCACAAATGATGTACACAACAACAATACAAGTAAAACTAAACGAAAAGAGCAAAAAAGAACACAACCGTAAGTTACAGTGACTGGTCAGGTATTCATTGAGTGAACTAAGATTTACACTATGATATATGAGGCCCTGCAAGGGTAAATTCCGACAAGCGACATGGCCCAAAAAGTAGCGACAGCGCGCAAAAATGAAATCACGACAAGAGACAACCTCCCTCGGCCAAATTGTGACAGTGACGGCAAAGCCGACAATAAGCAACAA